AAAGCTTTTACAAATTAGTTTAACATATGTACATAAACTAATTCTAGTTTGTGGAAAAGCTTTATCTCATATTTCTTATATCAATTTTCTTCTCCTACAAGAGTTTCTGAAGAGGTTTATCCAACGTTCTTTATGCTTACCTTTTTTCCTTTTCAAGTAGCAGTAGTATATGCTGATAGCCAATAGAGCTAGTACTACAATTCCAGCTATGACAATGATTACTATAGGCCACCACCTTCTGTTATTCCCATCTGTGGCTGCATTATCTAGAGAAAAAGAAAGTTTAATGTGTAAAATGGTGAGAAGTGAAAATATTTTTATTTCAGGCCTTATAAAAACTCAGGATCAAACTAGCCCAAAGTTGTTGGGGAGCAAGGGGTATGAATTTTGAAATCTGTGACAAGATAATCTTCAACAGAAGATGTTAATAACAACACTTTAACCATCAATCCAAATTTAGGGGAATGAATTTTCACTGATCTTATAAACCGTAGCAAATGAATGTTTCAGAATGAAGGTGAAAAAAACTGAACTCATACCTTGCTGAGGTGGTGGTGCAGAATCAGTACCATTCAAAAAGAAAGGCTGAGTTTCATACATAACTATACAACTTGGAGAAAAGATACGCCACACCTTCTTCTCCTGACAGCAATTGTCAACATCCTCAAGCATATTGCTCAAACATGTTCTGCATTCCTCAGCTGTAATGTCTCTGCTGCACTGCACCCAACCATACCTTCTCTGAGTGCCATTTATGTTGAACATATGTGTTCCAAACTTCAAGGTTGCCTCTGACCCTATTTGTATCAAACCATTCATCAAAACCTGAGCATCACTGTCAAACTCTCCAGCACTAGTAGAATTCTGCGTGGCATCAAACATGGGAATCCTTGGCGTAAGGGTGAGATTTCCAAAGAAATTCTGGTTTGAGTACCTCAGAAGACAATAGGGATACCAGAGAATAGCAGAGGCATTGTTGGGGCAGTGCTGCATGAGCAAGATGCTAGAGTTTTGGACACAAGTGTTGCAAAGGCTGGTGTTCACATCACCACGGCAAAGGTAGAGTCCATAAACCATGTCTTGATTAACACCTGAAGTTCTATTCCCAAAACCATTGCTGGTAGCAGAATCAGATGAGAGGGAAGTGAACAAATTGTCGAGGTTGGTTTGGTAAGAAGCAGAGGGAGGAGCAGAAGATTGGTCCAAACAAGCATATCTATAATCAAGTGGTTGCTGTGAGTTGCTGCTGTTCTGAGCAGCAACAAAGCAAACAACGAGGTATACCAGTTTGATGATGAATAACCACTGATAGATCATTCTTCTTTTGCTGCAATCACCACTGTGTATCATCAGCATAATTATGTGAGGAGTGCTTCAGAGGCCTAGATTTCGAAGTTATACATCATCAATTTGTCAACCGTTTGACATTTGCTCATTTTCATGTTCTTAGCTTGTAGCATCAACTTTTTGACCCTCCAAAACGCAAAGTGTGAAACCCATATAGTATTAGAAAAATTCAAAAATTGGTTAATACTAAATTAACTTTATAGAAATTGTTCGGGCTTAATTAAGTATCA